TGTTGCTGTAGTAGTAGTAGTAGTAGCAGCAGCAGCAGCAGCAGGAGTAGTAGTAGTAGTAGTAGTAGTAGTAGTAGTAGTAGTCGTAGTCGTAGTAGTAGTAGATGTAGTAGATGTAGTAGATGTAGTAGATGTAGTAGATGATGGCGCTGGTTTGACGTGCACGGGCCGAGCCTCTTGGATTTCTGGCTGTGTGGCACTGCGGGGCTGCAAGGCCCTACTCGATGACCTGCCACCGAAGCTGTCCGCGAATTGCAAGGTGCCGGGGATTCTGCAGCGCACCAGGTGGCAAAGGGCAGATGCCAGCAACTGCAGTTGCTACCCCAATCCCTGGAACCCTGAGTGCTCAACCCGAAACCCTGATTCCTCAAAAAGAGACAGGAAGGACCAGGGGCCTTGGAGCACCGCTGTCGATCCAGGCTGGCAAGCTGGGAGGATTCTCCAACCTCACATGGCATTTGGGGCTTAGGATTTCGGGTTAAACCCTAAACCCTAAACTTTAGACTTTAGGGTATTTGGGGTACAGCGTTTCGGACCTAGGGTTCTACAGGGGGACATTTCTAGAGTCTCCAAAACACCAACTGGGTGAATGAGAAACCCTCGGAGCGCATCTTGCATGAGCTTTCACGCGAGGAGGGCGCTGCGCGCCGTGCACACTGGTGGATAAAGACTGAGGAGTGCACAGCAGCATCAGTGCATCAAGGGCCGATGGATTTCCGGCCCTCCCCTGGTCGATATCGACGAAGCCTTCCAGAGCCACGCAAGAAATCACGAACGGATGCATTGCACCCCCTCCCGCTCCACACCTGAAGATTCGCCACTTGGATCGAGTCCTTCATAAACTTTCGCCGCTGCACATAACGATTCAGCGATTTCGAACATGCATGCAAGCTCCATGTCTCCACTTGCTGTGCTGTGCTTGTGGGAAATTCCACGACAAGAAGCAAGTCTGAGGGCCTTGATAATTAGAATAGGGTTTGGGATATACTACAATAACTATATAACTATAATAAACGAACCCCTAAAACCCTATTCTAATTATTAATTCCCCTACTTTCACTCTGAGGCCCTGTCCCAAGAGGAGCTGCGTGAGGCTTTGGGATGGCGCAGAGCTGTCGGTCGTGGTATCTCGGCGGCTGATGGGTTAGGTCAGAATTTAGGGCTTTCGGGCTTTAGGGGTTTAGGAGTCAGGTTTAGGAGTTA